GTGCTGAGAAAGTGTTTATATAATTGAATTATTGAGTACCACATTCTAATGCACCTAATTTTTATGAGAGAAGTCCTAAGAAAGGGATCCATTGAAAATTTAAATTCTCATTTCTACTTTATTTTCCCTTGGTTGTTTGGTTAATGTGAAAATTCAGGAAAAGAAGAGAAAACTAAAAGTTATATTCTAGAATTTTATTTTATAATTGTGTTGTTCAACAATTTTGAAATATTTTTTTTTGATGTTGTTCTCGTCTGGGTGAGCTTTGATTTTGATGGCCGTTTGATAAATTTAGTCTTTGAACCGATTTTTGTTTGTGTAAGAAAATCAATCAAAATCCAAAGTGATATATATATATATATATATATATATATATATATATATATATAAAAGAATATAGCTAGTGAGAGAAGGAGAGAGAGAGAGAGAGAGAGAGAGGGGCTATTTCAGAATTGTTTCTTTTTTTAAACATATTACTTGGTGAGTTTGATGGTGTGTATTAGTGTATATGTTCTTTTCTCCCCCTCTAAAATTTTCTTTTTGCTTTTTGGTTGCTTTTAGAGCAATGTTTCAAGTTCATCCTCTTTAATGACGTGGCCTTTTAAAATCTGTTTAAAATAAAAAATAATAAAAATACGAATAATGTCCATTTGTACTGGTTAAATCCATTTGCCTTTTAAAATCTGTTTAAAATAAAAAATAATAAAAATACGAATAATGTCCATTTGTACGGGTTAAATCCATTTTTCTTTTTCTTTTTTTCTTTTTTTTTTTTTTTTTTCTCTCTCTCTCTCTCAATACCTAAACTGCCCTGCAAGGGACCCATTCTAATCTTCCCATCTCTCTCTCTCACCAAGCCTCAACACCCGTCCAAACACCCCCAATTGCAAATACAACCTAACAATTTTTGCAATTTTTTTACTTCAAATCAAAACCCCCCAAATTTTATGCTCTTCAAACCCTAGGTCAAATTGTCCTCTATCTGTGCATATTAGATGATGGATTGCGATTATAGATGATTATGGGCAAGAAAAAAAAAACAAAGAACGGATGTTGAAAAAGGGGTTGGGTGAATGAATACAGAGGTGCAAATATATATATATATATATAGTATGAGGCTTCAGTATGTTTGATGGCTTGGCCGGAGCTTTCGTTGGCCGTCCCTTTCTTACTCGCCGACGAGTTGGACGAAGTGCTCGCCGCCCTGTGTGAGCTCCATGACGAGGTAGATCTTGGCTTTGGTGGCGAGGACTTCGTGAATTTTGAGGATGTTGGAGTGGTTGTTAAGGCGGCGCATGGTGGAGAGAGATATTGAGAGAGAGAGAGAAATGAGAGAGAGTGATAAGAAAAAACGGGTTTAACCCAGGTAAATGAACATTATTTATATTTTTATTATTTTTTATTATGAGCAGGTGTCAATATGGAAGAAGGCCATGTACATAGGGAGGATGAACTTGGTAGGATGCAAGTATTGTTCTTGCTTTTATATGTTTATTTGGGTGCGTTTGATATGGTCTGGATACTACCGAACTGCCGCCTCCTAAGTGCAATTGAAATTGGTCATATAATATATAGCAATTCCCCACGAAGTGCAAATCAACAAATAAAATGCAAAAGACTTCATATATAAATATACATGTATATACATTATATATATGAAATAACAAATGATATCTCCGACTTGAAAAGGTGGGTGTGGAGAACACTTTTTATATACACATAGTGTGTGTGTATATATGTATAGATTGGACTTGGAAGGTGGGTGCGGAGAAGAAGGTGGAAGTGTTGATGAAAGGGATGAGAAAGTAATTATTAGGAGTATTTTAATCATTTTAAATTTATCATATATTAGATTAAAACATATTAAATAAATGAGGATAAAAATATCTATTCACACTTTTTTAGCGGTGTGAGAGATGAAAAAGTAATTTGAGATGTGAGTGATAATAATTTTTTTCAAACTACCTCCGACCATGTGATATTTTTCCAAATTTCGTAAATGTCAATGAAATTAACCCTTAAAAAATTAATACAAATTAGCTTGTACAATTTTCAAAACAAGCCATCCTACCGGAGGGTGTTTCCACGCGACAAATAGCGGGTATAACTAAAAAGATTCTGATAATTCCAGTGGAAGTTATAAAGGGTTTTTTGGTCCCCGCATCATTACCTTAATATAACTATTAATTAAATAATTAAAATAATATCCTACATCAGTTGTGAAGATGATATTTTCTTATATTATTAGTAATTAATTGTCAATAATCAATAATTTATTGACATAAAAAATCCCCCTCATCTCACCTACTACTGTGTGAGTGGATTTTCTCCTATTTCTCACTTGTTTGTGTCAATTTTGTGCACGGTTAAATAAACAACTATATTGTCTTACTCAAAAGTAAAAAAATTAAATTTAAAATAAATGACAACATAATATATGCCAACGCAACTCATATGCAAGAACGATATAATACTTACCCATTTATATATAAAATGTAACACTCAGTTAATATGGTAGAGCAACTGAAATGGTCTAATTTGTGGGCATTGAAAGTTGTAGCCGAGAAATTATAATGGTGTGGAGCTGGCCACCACCCCCCGGCCTGGCCTGGCTCCGCTCGCTACGATTTAGTTATTTTTAAATATATACATATATATATAATTTTTATATAATATTCTCTTAAAATTTTTAATTACTAAAATTAACCATTAATTATTTTTTTTTCTTTCCTTTTCTACTTTTCGAATTCATTTGATTTCCTTAAAAAGATTAAATTTATCTTCTTAAATCAAACTCTAATTTTTTTTTCCAGTAAAGTTTTCATTTTTCTTCTCTTTTTTCATAATTAAAAATTCTTTTGCACTTACATATGATATATATGTAGTATGTAATTTTTTTAATAAAAATATTATTAAAAATGACTTTTTAGTTCTTATATTTCTTTTACTACTCATTCATTTAGCATATTGTTTTGCTTTACTTTTTTTTTTTTCTCGATTTGGAAAATTGATATTTGTAAGTTAATTGATTTTTATAATTTTTTAAAATTTGCACCCGTGATTGAAATTTTGCCTCCATTCCTGTTTGTGCCCGCACTCTATGGGCATCGGCTTAACGATATCAAACCTTTGGAGCTAGTTTGGTGTGCTGGAATGGGCTGGAATAGAATGATCATTCCAACTTCTGATTCCTTTTTTTCATGTTTGGTGTGCCATTTTAAAGATGGAACGATTATTCCAACTCATTTCCTGAGAATGCTCATTCTATCAAGAAATTAGAATGACCATTTCTCTTCTTGACCAAAGGAATGGTCATACCATTCCCAACAAAAATTAAAATAAAATACAAGTAAAACAGAAAAATACCCTTGGGGCTAGTTTGGTGTGCTGGAATGGGCTAGAATAGAATGACCATTCCAACTTCTGATTCCTTTTTTTTTATTTGATGTGCTATTTTAAAGGTGGAACGATTATTCCAACTCATTTTATGAGGATGCTCATTCCATCGAGAAGTTAGAATGACTATTTCTCTTCTTGACCAAAGGAATGGTCATTCCATTCCCAACAAAATTAAAAATAAAATGCAAGTAGAACAGAAAAACTAAAAAATAAAACCAAACGTCTAACCTAAAAACTTCTTTCACACATGACTCACCAAACCTCCGAGACAACCTGCTACCGCCTCCCTCAGCCATCTTCCTCCACCGTCTCTCTCTTTTCTAACATCCTAAAAACTTTCCTCTGCCTCCACTTCTTCCCCCACAGTTCCACACTTTCCTCTCTCTCTCTCCTCCTCTCTCACTGCCCACATACGTCTTCCTTCTCTCTCACCATTGTCGGCGGGCAGCAGCGGCGGTAGAGGGTTGTGATGCCTATGTTTTATTGAATCTCACTGTTGTTTTCACTGGCAAAGAATTGAATTCGGTTTTACTAAAGAACACATCGATTTCTAACTTTTTGAGATTTGTAGAATAATCAAGGTATGTAGTATTCACAGTTGTGCAATAGTGGAGAGGAGGTTTGGTATCTCTATCACCGGTCTCAAACACTGCCGGTTAGATAAGGTGGTAATAGATCTGTAATTTGGGGATGTAAATTCAAGTAGTAAGCACCATAGAGATAGATGCATAAATGTTCATTAGAGATATCAAACAGATTGGAAATCGAAGAGTACAGGCACAGGACACTCTCGCACCTATTAACCATCCGGTTACCCACAAGCTAGCTCGAATCTTGTTGGTTGCCTTGCTTATCTGTCTGCTTATTTGATCAGAAATCAAACCCAACAAAACTCAAAAGATATCACTGGTGTTGGTGGATTCATACTACAAATTCCTGTTAATCAATTCTTATTCTTATTTATTTTTAGGTTTTTTTTCTTTTTTTTTTTTTTTTTTTTTGAATTTTGATGACAATATTTTGAAAAAAAATATTCATTCCATTCTACTTTTGGAATGGTCCAGCACACCAAACTAGCCCCTACTATTATTTCCTAAATAAGTCAAAGGTTCAACCTAAGTGGAGGTACAAGTACCAATTAAAAAAAAATGATAGACATCACAAAGTATTTTTTATTATTTTATCACTAATAATACGTGGCATAATTAGCTTTTCTTTTGGGAGTTAGGAAGAGAAATCCTCACTCAAATTTCCTTTTGGGAGCGAATTTTCTTTTTCTTGGATCGGTCTTAAATTTCCTTTTAGTTTTAGATTTTTGCTTAAACACAATGTGTGTACGAGGTATGCATATATATATATATATATTGAAGTTATGTATAATTAATCATGGAGAAAATAGAAGGATATGTAAATAATTTTTATATGTTGGCTGGTTTGAAACTATAACTCAAAAAATTTAAAATTATGTTTGTATTTAGGACTTATAGTTATTGATGATTACTCAAACAAAAAATAAAATAAAAATAAGACACCTATAAATGAAATTAGCTGTTGGCAATGGTATGAGCCACACATGCAGAGGAAGACTACTTTGATGGACAATGTTGAGGTGTGATGATTATGGTAGAGGAAGAAAAACTAGCCTAAGAAAGGGGAGAGAGCAATGTGAGTGAAGAAATACTATATTGTATTTATTATTTGTGATACAATTTTGAATATTTTTTTTTTTGTTTTTTTGATAAAGTCCAACATTGCGCAGAAAAAGAAAAAGAAAAAGAAACCGAACCAAAAAAATTATGGAGAGCCTTGTAGAGAACGTGGTACAAATTGCCCTTACATGGTCTTCACCATTAAATAAAAAAAAATTAGCAACTTTATGTAATTATTGGACCGTCAATTGAAAGTAAATGCATTATCAATGTAAAAAAAACAAACAGAATAAAGAATCCTGATTCCCCAACCAAGACATACCTCCGTGTTTCCACGCATACGTTATACCTTTTCCATCTACCACACACCTAGAGAGAGTATTCTAGAGAGAGAATTTGAGAGAGAGAGAGAGAGGCGGAGGGAGAGCATGCTGTGTGCAAGTGCTCCTCCAACGTCGAAAGCAGAGTTACGGAGATTTCTTTATACTTAGTCTCTCTGTCTATATATATATATATATATATCCATTGCTCAATTCAAAATTCTGAAGAAGCTTTCCTGTGTTGGAGTTTCATTAAATAGAAGGAATTACATTCCAGGTATCAGGTATGTGCTTTCCTTCCTTTCCGAGGAATAATCACACCCTTCCTCCATCACTACAGAGTACCCCATCTCTCTCTATACATACACACATACACACAAGTATCAAATATATTATACTACTGATTTTCCTCTTCTTCTGTCTCGATTTCATTGAATCTTTTTGCTTGCTCTTCAAACTCTATGCAGGTTCCTTTGAGATTTCGCGGCACTGAGACGGAGAAATTCTTGAAATCGGTGAGTTAATTTCTGGAAAGGAAAATATTTTTAACCACAAATTTGTTAGTAACTTTAAATTTCAAGTTGAACTCCTTGAAATTTACGATCAATTCTGAAAAAAATTTACCCATTTTCAAATTCTTTAAGAGTGAAAAAATTTCGTTACTGTTGTTTGTTTCCCTGAAAAAAAATATATATTTTCCATACGGTGTTCGTTAAAAACACGTGTGAGGGCATTTCACGATGAGATTGATTTGTCATGCGTTAAATCAGGACCGTCCAATACTTCAATTCCTCCTAGCTAACCCTATAGATCTTTGCAGTCTTGACAGAGATAGTAATGAATCCCGTACAAGCCGTGCAGATAGTAAATGGAGGTAGTGTGAATTGTAACGGTGGTTAGAGGAGAATCAAAATCTTTACGTTACGTCCAAAAACCCAGCTTTGTTGTGTTGTTTCTGGATTCTTATTAACACGCGTCCGCTGGGCGCGTAGTCTACACTTCTTTTTTGTCAAAGCAACACATACATAAGCAGGTCACCTCTTATCAGTCATCTCAATTTTTGTATCATAACATTTCTCAATTATTGTATCTTTACATTGAATAATACAAACAAAATTAATGTACCATGACACAGTTTGTGTTACTAGCTAGAAATAAATATCCAAATGGTGCATTTTAAAGGATAATTAATGTTTTGTTGCAACTGTTTGTGTTACCCAGATGATTAGGGTTACTTCCCGGGACCTCGTATTCATATCTTGTACCCAAATAGATATTGGGTATGTTAGGTGCATGGTGCACCGGCTCATTCGAGCTGTACATACACAACACGTATAACTTGAATGAGTCTTGTGCACGGTGCACCAAACACACCCAATACCTTTGACCTTCCCCTCCGTCTCCACTCTAACCACACCTAATAATCTTGCCCTGAAAATAATAATAATAATAATAATAATAATAATAATGTTTTGTTGTAGCACTATACTTGATTTGATGGTGTAACGTGACTCACACCGCCTAACAATTGACTAGTCTTACGCTTTAGTTACATAATTTTTGTGACTATTATATGAAGAAAAAAAAGAAAGGCACATCTTGTGGAGAAATTGTTACATTGTCTGGGACTACGTGGTCCCGGACAATTAATGATGTATTAATTCTGGTGTCACATTTCTATTCTAGTAAGGGCCAAATTATATATAATGATATGCTTCATAGAGTCTAATAAATTTGATGTTTTCTTAAAATTTCTAGCACAGATATGCTGACCAAGATGTGAGATTATATGTCACGGCTACTAAAATGTGATTGAGGTGCTCTGGTAGCTGCAATCTTGAGGAGCTCTTTCACAATTTCCTCAGCCAAGGTAATGTTTTTCTCTCTCTTGTTACTAAAATGTTTTAATGGGAATGAGGTAGGCAACAGGACAGTAAGCATCTGTTCACTAAAAATATGAAGGTCATTGTGTAATACGCCGTAGTAGTATGGTAGAAGAAATAGGATGGAAGGTTGTCAAATTTTGGTATAAATTTTGCGTAAAGTGACGAATAATGCTATCAAGAGAGCTGTCTCGTGACAAAAGTTGTGAGCTCTTCTTATCTTACCATTGAATTTAGACGAATTTTTGAGATATGTGAAAAGTCAAATGAATCCTTTAATAAATCTTTCAATCCAACGCACAATAATGAGAGATCATGGAGATCATGGCTTTTCTCTTGATAGCATTACTCGTACAGTGAATAAGTTATAAGACGTGAGGGTAAGAATTTTCAGTTGAAAGATATAGGAGTTCAAAATTCTTCAAGACCTTAATGACCAGTTGAGCTGATTTGGTGGGTGAATTTTCAGTTACCCATATAGAAGACTAGCAAAGTTACAGCTTTATATATACTTCCATAAACTTTTCATTATGTGAACATTAACTCCAACTACACAATGAAATATTAATCATCCAGAATTGTGGAAGACATGGGGGAGCTGATTTGGTGGGTGAATTTTCAGTTTTTAAAGGTGTATGTTTTAAAAACTGTTGAGCTTTCATCTTATTTGGACCAAAAATCTATTGTTGACGAATGTTACTCACAGCATGTCGGAGTCCATAATAGCTGAACAGAAACTTAATTATCTTCCGATGTCGGTTGCTAGCAAAAACATTAACATTTGAACACTAGAGTCTTTGAGATATGCAAGTGACACAAATTTGAGGTAATGTAATGCATTTTTTTATTAGGTGAGTAGTGCTTTTGAATATGGGAAGCTTGCATCTAGCTGAATAAGTTCACTATCTGTTTCTTTAGTTCCAAAGTCCCGTCATCACCTAATTTTGTAACCAGTTCTAAGAATAATAAGGAACATATTCTTCACTCTTTTTTTTTCCCAATTGCTATTGATGTCTGTTGTAGAATTCTTGAACGAGGAAAATGTGATTGAAATTGCTAAGCATGTTACTGTTTGGTGACTAGCTAATTGGGGTTTCCTGTTAACCGGTTATGTGAACTCCACTGTGTTGCAGAGAGGTGAAGCAAAGAATCTGCGCCGCTTGGAGAACTCGCTGTTTTAATCAATTGATGGCTAGAGATTATTGGCCTTACTTTGATCCAGACTATGAGAATTTAAGCATAAGAATCAATCCACCAAGGTTCTTTCTCCCACCTCTTCTGAGAATTGTTTTGTCACTTGTATTAAGTTATGGTGTTAAATAACCTCAGTGTCCAGACTCTGTTAACACCCAGTATCAGCCATCATCCAATATTAAGTAACATAAGTTAGTCATAACTGTATTGCATCGTTTATTGATAATCTGTTAATATGCATTGAGAATGTGTATGGTGATGGGACCCTTGAGACTAGTCGATATAGTGGATTCTTTGACGATTTAGATGGTGCCACTTTGTTGTTCTCATTCTGATTAGTACTCTTATTTCCCTAATAATTGTTTGTAGGGTATCTGTGGACAACACTAGTTGCAGTGACTGCACTCTGATCAAGGTAATTTTTAATCAATTTTAATAAATATTTCCTATGCTGACATTTAATTTAATCATCAATGATCTTCCAATGCCATGTTGCTAGAAGCTGAAATTTATTCTACGTTTGGTAGGAGGGAAGGAATGGGGGAGGGAAGAGAGAGGGAATGGACCGGACTTCCATTGTTTGGTGGAAGGGAGAGGAAGGATGGCAAGAGGGACGAGGAATCCCTCTGAGCCCACCATTTTGGAAAAATGATAATTACACCCCTTTTGATCCTTTCCACCCAACAACACAAAAAGATCGATGGACGCCATCTCTTTCCTTTGGATGTCTCATCCATCCCTCCCCTCTCCCTTCCGTCTATTTTCCCATTACTTTCCTACCAGAATGGAGTATTAGAGCATTAATACATACATAAGGTTCATTATGTACAATGTCAGATTTCAGACACCACAATGCAATAATAAAAACTTTACCCTCAAATATCAGCTTCTGGGGATAAAAAGTAACCAAAAAGAAGCATGAAATATCAAAATATCTTGCATTTATATGATTGAATGGCTTGTTGGTGGACTTGGTCACAAGAACTTTAAAGAAATTGAAGAGTCCCATGTACCATAGATGTCAACACTAAGAAGAACTGACCAAGCTAGCTGATGCTCGCTTTTGAGTGGATAATTTTTATACAAATTCAACACGATGGAACATTCCAAAAGTTCAAATCTATATCTCTTTGAATTGTGTATGGCCTTTACAAAATTCTAAAGATAAAAATAAAAAATAAAAAAATCATAAGATCAGATGCTTTGACTTTAACTAATCAAACTGAATGTTATTACAAATAATCTGATTAAAGGAAAATTTTGAATGTTTAGATGTACATAGATTATAGAAATAAGTCTCCTATGCCTATGTAAGCCCCATGTACGGACCGAGCAATAGGGGATGGTTGGGAAGGAATTATATTGTTGACCCTCATTCCCTCCGTTGTTGCTTGAACACAAGACTTAGTATACCTCCAATAGAACTTCACAAACGAATGAGCTTGCATATTTGTTATATGGTCCACTGAGAACATAATTTTTTTATTTATTTAAAAAAAAAAAAAATTCTCCAATCTTCATAACCAGACGAAGTTTGTGGATATTATCAGGTTGACAGTGTGAACAAACCAGGAATACTGCTGGAAGTGGTGCAAATCCTATCAGATCTTGACCTTGTCATCACAAAAGCTTACATCTCCTCTGATGGCGGATGGTTCATGGATGGTATGTGCATTTATAATTAACTTGCCTTTTATGTTGAGTCTAGGAAAGAGGGCATGCTCAATCTGCTTATAAGCTCTCCCTTTAAACCGTACAGCTCTTGGTGGTTGTTGTTGTTATATGTGCCAAATCTACAGTTCGGATTCACTGGATTGCATATGCTGCTCACGACCTTAATGTAAGGTCCTAACATGGTATTATACTAGAGACAAAAGTCACACTTTTAGAGAAGATGTTGGTAGACAAATCTGAGGGCTGCCAAAAACATTTAAGCTGTACATGTAGATACATAGAGCATTTGACCTTTTATAATTTTGGTGGTGAATCTCATATGTGCTTCCCCATGGTTAGCCAAATGCACCAAGAGATTCAGATAAATGGAGAGCTTATGGCAAGGTGCCCCCTTTATTCTCGTATCAGTATTTCCCGCATTTCTCTCATATCAAGCAAATATATGAGCTTTTTAATTCTCTTTCAACAGTATTTCATGTCACTGATCAACAAGGGAATAAAATTACAGATAGCAAAATCATTGATTACATAGAGAAGGTATGCCTTATGATTCTCTTTGTGCTCTTTTTTGCTTTGTTTTTATAAACCAGAACAGGACTTCCATTCGAATTGGTGACCAAATACTCATCCGGTATCAGAGCATCCACAATAAAAATTTTACGGAACCACTGTCCAGACAAAACAGTTTTCAAGTATATCATATAGAACTACAGTAAAAATGTGCATACCAGGTCAGGCAATGCACTACTTCAACGTCATGGGTGGAGCTCATTTCTTCTTCATGAAGCACTCTACCTGGCTTTATTTTCCTGAATCCACTCATATTTGTTCTAATTTGTACCACGTTACCGGTGAGAAACTATCAAACTGTAGTAGCATAAGTGATGACATGAACAATTGGCAAACCTACTTTCCTAATATATAGCATATCCAACAGATGACTCCATAAGTGATCTTTTATATTAATTCAGGCCCATTTTACTCCAAATAAGTATGATGCGTAGTAGTATATATGGTTGTGCGCAAGGTCCACCTCTGGTTCCTATAGTTCACTAGGGCATAGTCATCTCATTGCTTATGATGAGAAGAATGCATTGGTAATCAAGTTTTCACGAGCTTAAGGCCCTTTCCTACTAGGAGTTTTTCATGAATTTCTTGGTTTCTTTCATATGTTGCTACAGGCTCTGGGACCTAAGGGCCACACTACAGAAGTGGTGAAGACTTGGCCTGGAAAGAGGGTAGGAGTTCACACCATGGGTGATCATGCAACCATTGAGCTCATAGGCAGGGACCGCCCGGGTCTCTTATCTGAGATCTCTGCTGTCCTTGCCAACCTCCACTTTAATGTAGTTGCTGCTGAACTTTGGACACACAACAGGCGTATAGCATGTGTTGTTTATGTCAATGACGATACCACATGTCGTGCAGTAGATGACCCAACCCGATTATCTACTATGGAAGAGCAGCTCAAGAACATTCTGCGTGGGTGTGAGGATGATGAGAAAGTGGCTCGCACTAGTTTTTCCATGGGATTCACCCATGTTGATCGGAGACTCCACCAGATGTTGTTTGCTGATAGGGATTACGAAGGTGGAGGGTTGGCAACTGAGGCAGATTATCCTCCCTCATTCAGACCAAAAATCTCGATTGATCGTTGGGAGGAAAAAGGGTACTCAGTAGTAAGTGTCAGGTGCAAAGATCGGTCTAAACTTATGTTTGACATTGTGTGCACACTTACAGACATGCAGTACGTTGTATTTCATGCCAGCATCTCTTCCGATGGCCCATACGCATCCCAGGTATTTGCACAATTATATACTGATAGAATTGTTTATTTTGCTAGATTTTCTTTTACATTCAGTAAATTTCAAGAAACAACTTACTTACAGAAGATTTAATGCATATGATGTATTTGTTAATAAAATACTTTTGTAATGTGAAATTTGCTTCAAACTGAATGCACTACAAGAAGGTAAAAATACATTTGCATATATCACCAACGGGCTAGTGGCCTAGCGGTATCAGCCTCTTACTTCCCAAAGGGAGGTCAAGGGTTCAAGTCTCCAAAGGGATAAGTGTGTGTGAGTACCAACTAGGAAAAATAAAATAAAAAATTTGCATATATCAAAGTACTTCATTTGATGTGCCAATTGCCACAAATGTAAGAATTACCCAAACATCATTCTTCACCAGATGATGTCTGATATGATCATTGGACCCCATTCTTTGGGGTAGTTACATTAACAATATTGGTTTAAATAACTGTCTTGATGAATTGTTCTAATTACCAGAAAAATTTTGCTACTTCTGCGTAAGCAATCAATTTATTTGCTGAGGAGGCAAGACTTTTTGATGGAAGTGGAGTCATTCCATCAATATGAAACATACCAGAACCCTCTTTGTTCTTCAAGGCACACTGTGATTATATTTCAGTTACAAACCAGATTTTTGTAGGATTTAAATAGTAGCATCAGCTTCTTAATATACTTCTGGGTGTTAATTTTAATGTTTAAAATGGCTCAATATTTTTTGGACTCATTCCTTTTTTTAAAAAAGGTTTTGTTTATTCAGATAATATAATAAATTAAATGGTATTATTTCATTCGAGTAAGATGTCCATAGGCATCCTTAATGTTTTGATCATGGTAACTAAAGCGAGTGTTCTGGACTTGTAGGAATATTACATCCGCCATATGGATGGTTGCATGCTAGATACAGAAGGAGAGAAGGAAAGGGTTGTCAAGTGTCTTGAAGCTGCTATTCAGCGAAGAGTAAGTGAGGTGAGTTGGAGAATACTGTTTTCGTATAATTTATTGCAGATAAAAAATCTTAAGTTAAGAAAGCATTCAAAACTTATCACACCATTCATGCTCATGACTACTGCAATTTCCATTTCTGTATGCATTTTAATGAACCATTTCTTGGTTAAAAGCTATGCAAAGTACAATTTTAGTAGATGATCACATGCATGACATTGCCTCTGGTGTGGTGACTCATGTTTCCTTTCGAATTAATTCCAAAGAAAGTGGAGATATTTTTAAAATTATCTATTAAGATAATAGAGAATGTTTCCTCTATTGTGGATAAAATCAAGAATTAGTCCGTTGAAGTGATTATTTCTGCAAAAACAAGTAGACAGAAAATCAAGTGTAAAAATGGAGACCAGAAAATGGGTTGTCGATTAATGTAATAGGGAGTAGTAGCAGAAACAGAGTTTTGAAATGAGGAGGTTGATTAATTCAATAGGTTCTAACCGATGATTACGAGTACTCTTCAAAAGTAGATGAAGTACCCATGTCAGAGGCACAATATTGTGGCTTGGGTATACCTGCACCCAACACACCCACGTCCCAATGGGGACTTGAATTGATCAATTATTTATGAAATTTAGTGTTTTATGGTGGTGCATAAGACACTTCTTCCTTCTTATAGGATTAGATATAATTGATGGACTGAATCATTGAATCTTATGCAGGGTCTGAGCCTAGAGGTCTGTGCAAAGGACCGAGTAGGCCTGCTGTCCGAAGCAACAAGAGTCCTTCGGGAGAATGGGCTGTCTGTTACAAGAGCGGGTGTCTCGACAGTTGGGGAAAAAGGAGTGAGTGTCTTCTACGTGAAGGATGCTTCTGGAAATCCAGTTGACATGAAGACCATTGAAGGACTTCGCAAAGAGATCGGACACACTATGATGCTTAACGTGAAGAAAGTCCCGGCAAGTGATAAAGCACAAGAGGAGGGTGGTGGATGGGCCAAGACTAGCTTCTTCTTTGGAAGCTTAGTTGAAAGGTTCTTGGCTTAATAATATCAAGTGTCCATTTCAAATGTAACATATTGTAAAGTATAATAAATGTGTGCCCAGCATAATATTTGGACAGGGCTTGTTGCTGTTTGGCCTGTTTTTTACCTTGAATTGTAAGTTATGAATATTTCAGTTGTTTCTTGACTAGAATGACTCTCTCTATATATATATTTATATATACACACACATACACAATGCGAAGAAAAGTAAACGCATGCCAGCATGAAATTTGGACAGGGCTTGTTGCTGCTTGGCCTGTTTTTACCTTGTGATGTAAGTTAGGAACATTCTAGTTTCTTAAATTGAATGCGTGTCTCTCTCTCTCTCTATATATATATAGACACACACAATGTGAAAAAAAGTAAGCGCATGCCAGCTTGAAATTTGGAGGGGCTTATTGTTGGCTGGCCAGTTTTTACCTTGAAATGTAAGTGATGACCATTCCAGCTGTTTCTTGACTTGTCTCTTTCACGATATATATATATTATATATGTACAAGCACACACACAATGTGAGAGAAAGTAGACGCATGTGCTGCAACTTAAAGACAGTGGAATAGAGTGGGTTCAATTTTGGAGTGCCATTGAGGTCAAGATTAAGGAAGCAACTGGGAAATCGGGCTATAATTTAGGTGAAATTGAGTAGATGAACCAAATTGACATGCTGGCAGCCATTACAGGAAGGCAATGTGGGGCCGGCTGCCAGATCACATGTTTGCTCAAAAAGTTTTGAGTCTTTATTAGTTTTTGTCAAATTCTAATCCTTTAGATTGATGGTCGATCACGAAGTTGATTATTGACGCAAGGACAAGTCAGTCAAAAACTAGGCCACATTCATGTGATTTAGTGACGTTCAATCAACATAATAATATATTATTCATTGATAGATGGGTTTTGTATCACGGAGTACAACTTTTTGAACGTAAAGGCAAATCCAAACATCAAATGCTATTTTTCAATATCAAATCATCTGTAATATAATATTATATATATATATATATATATATATATATATATATTGAATCATGCTATTTAGATCAACACTCTTTTACTAAGTCTACGTGGTTTGTAAAATATAATGGATCCTAATGTAAAAAACTATTTAGAAAGTAGCTTAGGTTCATAGATTAATTGTATATAGAACATTATATATCAAATTATGTATTTCTCCTATATATACAGCAGATTGCGTCTGTGGTTTGCTAAACTCTTGATATAGATATATATATATATCTCAAATTGTGTATGTTAAATACATATATATATACAATTAAGGAAAAAAAAATACAAAATACAAACACACACAAACACACACACACACATATATAAATGATTGTGTTTTTGATCATTAATTTCTATGCATCTGACACTTGTCTTGAATTTCCAAAAACAAAAACAAGGAGAAAAATTTAAAGAGAAAATTTTGCATAATATTGTAGGGTTAGGGTTTAAGAATAGATTTGCTGCGATGAGAAGAAAAGATCGAGAGGATAAATAGGGAGAGAGTTGCGAATACAAAGGAGATAGAAATTGTTGCAAAAAGAAAGAAAGAAAATCCAAGTGATCAGTCGGTGAATAAAACTATAAAAGTGGTCAATATATTATATCATTTTCTATATATATATATATATATATATATCAATAGTGCACTGCTCACATTGCAGAAAGAAATGCAGTGTAAAATTAAGCAGTGAGTCTGGTTGAAACGGTTCTTTTGAAAAATAGTGATAATAAAAAATGAATAATGCTTGTTTTAGGCCGTATAAGAAGGAACCTCCTTCTTATAATAAGGTGACCCAATAAAACACTACCATGTATTAAAGATTTTAAAAAATAAAAAATAATGATTACAGAAAAAAGAAACCCCCGTTCTCTCTGACGCAAGTATATATCACTCCTGTGTTTTATCCCTCAAATTATGGACCTCGCTGCCGATTGAGATTTTGTTCGCCACCAACTATTTTTATGGACCACCGCGGCCCGCCACCAACTATTCACACAGCGCCCAATCAATTTCGTAGCCAGAGTTCACATCATGTAAATATCATCAAAATTACCAATCAATGGTGAATATGAGACCCGAAAAAGAGTTGATTTGGTGGTCGTGGATACCCTGATGGTGGGAAGAATGATTTTAGGAGGCGGTGGTTGTCACATATACTGGCGGCCTAGAGATGGGTTGATTGGTTTGGTGATAATGGTCGCTGTTTCCCTGTGGTCATTATTATTATTTTTTTTAAAACTTCAACACATGGTAGTGTTTTATTGGGCCACCTCATCGTAAGAAGGAGGTTCCTTCTTATACGGCCTAAGGCAAGCATTGTTCATAAAAAATTGTACATTCATTTTTATCATTATTATAATTATTTTGATATAAAATTAAAAAAATAATTTTAAAAAAAAATTCAAAGGCTCACTTTACCCAGATTTTGAACTGTTACACACTAATAAGACTAATTTATATGGTTCTTGGTTAATAATTTTAGAGATAATTCTATAAAAATGGAATTTTGTAGGTTAAAGGCCAAAAAGGTAAAGTCAAACTTTCATTTTCCAAATAAATGGAGTTTTATGAAAGGTTAAGGTGGACATGGAAACTTATTGCGAAAAGACCCAACTACCGTTTCTCTCTCTTCATATCTCTTTGTGATTGCCTGCTCTTTCAGTCAAAGCTTCCTTTGCCTGTCTTTATAAATCTCTTCATACATGAAAGTTTATGATGAACTAAGTCAACAGCAACGATGATGGCGACAATAGAGTGTTCTTACTGGCGACAAGCAAGGATTACAAGCAACGATAGGGGTTGTACTATTTGTTAAGTTTGGAGATGATCATATACCATAGAAACGGCTTTTTTGTAAATGTTTGCTTTTATCAGTAAATTACAAACATAAACAGTGTTGTTACTTTCTTCTATCTATTAATTTTCCAACCCCTCACTTTTTTTGCATTTTCAACACCAGTGGTGTGTGTTTCTTGGAGATATAATGACCAAATCAAATTATGACAAATGAATTACAGAATTCAATTAAAAATCAACAAAATCAAATCCATATACTGATATATATCGCAGTCAATAAATATAGTTGGTGTGTGTTTCTTGGAGATCTGATGACCAAATCAAATTATGACATAATTTAATTAAAAATCAACAAAATCAAATCCATAATATATATGGCAGTCCATAAATATAGTTAGTACAACAACAGGATGTGTATAAATAAAAAGGTGAAACAACTAATTGAGAGAGATGATACTGTGCATTCATCTTCTCTAATCACAAAGAGATATGAAGAGAGAGAAAGGATAGTTGGGTGATTTCGCAATAAGTTTCCATGTCCACCTCAGCATTTCATAAAACTACATTTATTTAGAAAATAGAAGTTTGACTCCATCTTTTTGATCTTTGACCTACAAAACTCAATTTTTATGGAATTATCCCATAATTTTAAGTGATTCATTTTTTATTTTTCCAAACCAACTGTTGGATCTGAAATTATGTCATTGATGTACATCACACCCATGTTCAATTATATTGTTATTTTAAATGTTCAAAATTATATTATTGTTGTACATTACGCGCCTATTCAATTATATTGTTATTTTAAATGTTCGAAATTATATTATTACTGTACATCATGGGCCTGTTCAATTATAAATTGCAAAAAATCCCCCCTTACTATTATTCAGTTGTGAAAAACTTTCCTTATGAATATTTTTGGCAAATAATCCCCCTCAACTATTCCAATAGAATGTTTTTAACTGATGTTATAATATTATTGAACAAATCATTTGCATGTAAAAAGTGTTATTTTCCCTTTACTTTCTTGACATCTTAATAATAAGAATTTGAAGAAAAAAAAATTATTTTAATAATAAGAATGAGTAAACTTCCCAGAAATTACCCTTGTACTTCGTCCACATGGTATATAATTTTTGAGTAGTAGGTGGTAGAATCAAAACAATATATGATGAGATGATAAATGAATTTCTCTTAAGCTATATGACTTAAATGTCATTTATAATTAGATTCTTGTGAATTGAATAGAGGGCAACGATATCCTTTCACATTAAAAGCTTTCATATTTTTAGGTCATTCGGTCTCAAAAAGTTACTTACTTTGGAGTATTTCGTGTTCTCAAGTAAGTAAAAAAAATTTTAAAAAAATTTAGATTTGAAAAAAAAAAAAGAAAAAGAATTATGTTACTTTTTAATTGCCTATTTTAGTCCACTTACCTTGCAGTAGCATAATTCAATTAAGGAAAAGAAATTGGACAAAGGAAATATGGCAAATTATTAATTATTTTTTTTAATATAATTAACTGTTATAATGGCTGCTAAAGATCAAGTGCACTGAAGGAGTTCTTGAGCTGCTTAATTTTTTCATCTTTTATTCGATGGTGGATTTTCTCTCTCCAGTGGGCTTGTACTCAATTTTATTTTATTAATTATACATAGCTTAAATATGATTTTATTTGCTTTCCATTTTTTGTTTTTTCGGAAATTTTTCTTGGCTGCATCACATACATTGCTTGATGACGGAGATAGAGAGAAAAAAAAAAAAAAAAAAAAATTTGTCTAGAAAAATAATATGTTAAAGGGGTAATTTCGTCCAAAAAATTTTCTCAAACAATCACTTAAACGGATATTAGTTAAAAACACTCCCTTAGGATAGTTGAGGGAGATTTTTTGCCAAAAATATTCATAAGGGGAGTTTTTCGGAACTGGCTAATAGTCGAGTGTTTTTTTTTTTTTTTTTTTTTTTTTTTTAAATTCGCCCTGTTTTAAATGTTCCAAATTATGTTATTGTTGACCTTGTATGGAATTGGAATTCACAATAGTATTGGAAGAATGTGCTTCAAGATTTAGAGAGAATTCTGAGTGTACCCTGGAATTGGTTTATAGGATTCTCAACTTTTGATCCAATTTAATTAGTCCATAAATAATTTCAATTTTACTAAATAAAAATAAGGGTTAAGTACAATAAACCCTTATACTATCGATATAATGTAAAATAGTCCATGTATAGTGTAAAAAACCCCTATACTATTACTTTGGTGCAAATAGCCCCCTTGAAGACTTAAAATGACTATAATACCCTCATTTCAATAAAATAAATTAATAAGTATAAATACAGGCCATGTAAAATAACCTTTTTGTCTAATTTGTGTAAAGAAATTA